GGAGGTTAATGGGTATCAGGTTGGGTGGTCTCAGGATTTTGTTTGTGCTTTTCACTAACAATGTGATTCTGTTGGCTTCACTGATGCATGACCTCCAGGTTTCACTTCAGCATTTTCCAGCTTTGTGAAGTGGCAGGATGAGAATCAGACTTAGACTATGGTTCTCAGAAAACCGTGGAATCCGCATATGACAGGCGAACAGTTGGCTACCCTAAAAGGAAGAGTTTAAATATGTCAAGGTCACAAGTGAGGGGAGAGTAGAATGGGAGATTGACAGATAAGTTGGTGCAGCATTTACAATGATGCCGATGGTTTATTGGTCTGTTGTGGTGAAGAGAGAGCTGAGTGTGAAGGCAGATATAGATTTACAGGTTTATCTACATTCATCCCCTCATGTATGGTCACAACCTTTGGGTAGTGGCCAAAAGACTGAGATCCAAATAACATCTAAGATCATAAATAGTAAAGAATCCACTTATAGATTATGCAATTTTCTCTAATTCAGCTTATATGAAATATAATGGTTAGTATGTATTTCTTGTTTTTATTTTGTCATATACTGGATATAATTGAACTTTCAAAGAACAGCTTCAGCCCAAAATCACTGGTGACTCATCTTTTCATTCACTTTCAACATGGGGAAGAGATTTAGGGCATAATGGGGTATATTTTAACTTGGATTCAAAAAGGACTTAATCAATTTTGTCCTTTTCATTCTTTTAAGTATTTCAAATATTAAGTTGCTTTTAGCAAGTAACTTAGAGTTAGACTTTGAATTATGTACAAGCATTAACACCTAGTATATAATTCAATATGATTATGAAATAGGCATAAAATGACAGTCTATTATGTCCAGAAATATAAAGCAAATATATCAAATGAAAATAAAAAAATGTTAGGCTCTCAGTGTATTAAACACAGATTTTTCTCCATCTTTTTGAGGAAGCACTTACTTCCTCTAATTATACATTTTTGTTGTGGATGAGTTTCTTTCAGGTGAGTCCTAGATAGTCTAATACATACCTCAGATCTCCAACTGTCAAAGTAAAATAAAACACTGTCACAAAATACCAAACACTTCCATACTAAACACTCATGTCCATTTAACCTGCTTATAAGAAGAAGGAACATGTCTCTTGGAAGTCCCAATAAAGAAAAAAGCCTGAATAATGTTTCAATTTGATGCTGTTGATATGAGATGTCCCAGTAAGATTTCTATATGATTCCTTTAACCTGCTTAAAAAGAACAGAATTTCACATTTCAAGTGACAGAAAAAAATGTTAGCCATGAAAAGCATTGTGATTCAGTAGATCCCTTCACCATTTTAAAAATACATAAAGTGAGCAAACACAATATTTATTACAGACTGGGAAATAATTATTTGATCCCCTCCTGAGTTTGTACGTTTTCCCACGTAAAAAAAAGAACAATGTCTAATGTTTATGGTAGCTTTGTTTTAATGGAAAGAGACAGAACATCAAATCAAAAATCCAAAAGAAACATTACATAAAAGTTATATAAAGATATACATTTATTTGCTTGTCACTGAGTTAAGTGAGTATCCCCAAACAAAACAGGGGCAGGTATTTGGTGGAGAAACCTTTGTTGGTAAGCACAACAGATTATCGGATTATCTCAGCCCACTTTAACCCCTCAGTATAGCGCTATGAATGATGCCCTTTTCACCTCATGTTGTGCAACAACCCTTGTTATGGATAGACCAACAGTACTGCCTTTTATGTGATATTGTGCCCTCCATTTGGGTCAAATTGGCTTGACGTTTGAAGGCCTGTAGTGACAGAATTTTTTTTAAAAATCCCTTAAATCTGTTAAACCTAAAGTAGCAAGCCTGATTTTAAAATGTAAGGATATTTGTGTTAAGTTAAAAATTGTCAGAAAAATAAATACTCAAGTAAAGTATTACTAATTCACCTCTTGAGTCACACTGAACTAAAAATGTGATACTGCTGATTAGGGCTGCCACAAACGATTATTTTGATAGTCGACTAGTCACCGATTATTTTTGCGATTAGTCGACTAATCAGATCATGCATCCATTGGACGTAAAACGTACAGCTTACTGCACCACCACGCATCTGCTCTTGTATAACTATCATTAGCTTGCAGCTTTAAGTGTTTAAGGTCTGTGCTAACTAAAAATAAAGACAAGATGATAGTTTATTAAATTTTAATGAAATTTGCAGATTGTTTCAGTGAAGTTTAATAAACTCCTTGCTATCTAAAATATAACGGGACACCGGAGTATATTCTCGAGCATCTCACACTTCTGAAAATCAGTTGTCTGCTTGACGTTTATTCAGCTGTATAAAAACTATAACTTTAATCTCAGCCAAACTTTATTTGTTCCTGAGTAAATCAATACTAAAAAAAAAGCCAAACAATAACATTTTAAATTATCTAAGTGACTTATATGTTTAACCTGAGTAGCGAAAGACGGCGGTGGGTTTGAAAACGATTTGCCGGGAGTCCGGTGTTCTCACGGGCTCTAGTGAGCCTTGCCCCTGGCTAGCTATCAAGTTAGTGGGTAACAGACGTCTCCAAAAACATCGGAGCACTTTTGAAAATATGTGGTGTCTTGATAAACTGACCAGATATTTGAGGTTTATACAGCTACATTCTCACCTGAAAATATATTGAACGTTTATTTTGTGACACAGAAAGAATAATAAGAGTAATATTAAAATTAACTAGCTGCCGCCATTGTTGCAAACTGAGCAGGGCTGCGCTATGAATTCTGGGACAGAGCTACTTTTTCGGGGTTTAACGGCAGCTGGCATCCTTGTACATGCAGTGCTGCCATCTTCTGTTACAGTCCGTTATTACACTCTTAAATCCTACTACTCATTCCTGCATCTTTTGTGATCTGACAAAGCTTCAAACGACGCGTCGACTATTAAATTAATCGTCGACAATTTTGATAGTCAACGTAATCGTGACTAGTCGACTAATCGTGGCAGCCCTACTGCTGATGGTCAGCAGAATTGCCCAGATTTCTGTCTAAGTCAAGTAAAGCTACAATAACAAGTTTGACTTGCAACCAATTTTTATAAAAGTAAAGCCCATTTACATTTACATTCTTTCCACACGTGTCCTCTGTAATTGCCTTACATCCATACTGGCAGGTATGAATGGCAGTACCAGGTCTGGCTATGAGCTCCATTGGCTGGATGGGTCAAAGCTATGAGGGAAATTAATAGCTGTCATAGTTGTCCAGCCCCATGAAGCAGTCATTCTAAGGAAAACACTCTTGTAAGTTCATTTCCAAACAACATAATTTTGTCAGGAACAAGTTATTAGTGCTGAGTGCTGAGCAGAGTAGATAATCAGTTGAGTTTGTTACAAACCAAAGTCTGTCTTTGTCAGCAAACTGTCACAGGTGAGTGAATCTGTTTGTACACTTGGAAAAGAAAAATTAGTCTCAAAAGAGCAAACATCAATTTTGATAAGGAAAGGGGAAAAAAACAAACAAACATACAAGAAATGACATAGACAAATCAATAGACCATAGAAATCAGTCTTCAACTACAGAACATTTCAAAGAATTGTTTCACCTCAAACTATACTCTTTAACTTTGGTTAAGAGAAGATATTTACTAAGAAAGAAAGCTTAACAACACCATATTATTATGTTCTATAGTAGGACTGCACAGTTATGGCCTAAATAATTACCATGATTGTTACGATAAATATTCATCTCATGATTGAGCTTTTTATTTTTATATAGATAGATAGATGACTCCAGACTACATGTATGGTATTTCAGCGAGGGTTATGAATTATGCAACCGTGTTGGACATCTGAATTGACCATAGTGATTCATGTTTGTATTGTGTTCAGGAAGTGGGGACAGTAGAAGGAAGTTTGATTTTAAGCATCAGTTTGCTAGGACCACACAAAGGCAAATGTGTCCGACAGTTAAGGGTATAAGAATATGGAATTAATCTCAAGAGTTGCAGAAATATGCACCGTTTTAAAATGTGTTGCATACTTAAAAGGATAAATCAATATGAAAAACATGAAAGTTTGGGGTAAATGTGGAAGGAAAAAATTTCATTGCCATTTAGTAGTGCTGTATACTGCTGATTAGGGCTGCCACAAACGATTATTTTGATAGTCGACTAGTCACCGATTATTTTTGCGATTAGTCAACTAATCAGATCATACATCCATTGGATGTAAAACGTACAGCTTATTGCACCAGCATGCATCTGCTCTTATATAACTATCATTAGCTTACAGCTTAATGTGTTTAAGGTATGTGGAACTAAAAATAAAGACAAGATGATAGTTTATTAAACTTTTAATGAAATTTCTAGTTTGAAGCAACAAACCGAAAACGGATATAACAAAAGTGCTCACAACTATATTGAACTTTGGGACTATATAGTCAGTATAGCAATCTACCCAAGATTATTGTTCATAGCCAGGAAAGTTAGCTTTTCTACATGTTCTGCAGAAAGGCTTGCTCTTTTTTGAGAGCAGATGTTCCCTGCTGTGGAGAAGATCCACTCCAATGGGGTGGAGGTTGCAGGAATGCACAGAAAATATTTGGCTAGCTTTGTGGGGAAACGTCCCTCATTTTCGCTCCACCATTTAAGAGGATCATCCTTTTTAGAAACTGTGGCTTCCTTAAAGTACAGCTGAACTTCACTTCTCACATTTTGGACATCTTGGTCCTCCTTAGATGCTTTTTCCTCATTGTCACCTCATTGTTAGATGCTTCTTGACTCCTTGATTCTGTCTGTGTCAGACTCAAGGGGTCTTTTCAATTCTAACTGAACCATTGGCCGTCTGCACTTTTGAATGCTCATGTGTCCCAGCATTTGCTTCTTTGACAGCAAGCACTTCAACAGTCCCCTGCACTGATGACATCTTCAGGAGCCAAAAACTTCAACTTTCTGTATCCGGGGTCTAAGGCAGCTGCGAGAATAACAGGGTTTTCTTTGTCTGCTGAGAAAGTGGATATACTCCCCCATCTCTATGTTATGCCTTTTTCTGCACTGGCAATGAAAGATTTTCCTGAGCTCGTCTCAGGTTGGCTTTGGTGTACAGCCCGTGTCAGCCCTTTGACCACCTGTGGAAGACCTGAAATGGTTGTGTACTGCTGTCCACTAAGGTAAACAGGACCAGTCTCAAAAGGTGCCAACCTTTGCTTCAGTTCTTCAAGCAGCACCCACTGCTCTGGCTTCAAGTCGAAGTAGTGTTTCCCCCTTGGCGTTACCTCGGGATCTGAAAGAGTAGCAGTGAGAGGCCAGCGCTATTCGAGGAGTCTCTCTATCATGTGGAATGTACTATTCCATCTTGTACTGACATCTTGGATCAGTGTATTTTTCTTCACATTCATTTGCTCCTGTTTCATTTTTAGCCTTGTACTAGCCAGCTCACTTCTCTTAAAGTGCTCCACTAGCTGCCTAGCAGCACCTAGTGCTCTCTCCGTTAGCTCGATAACGCGGTGCGAGGGCTGCACTGGGCTCACTAACAGGGATTTTCCGCGTTAATGCTGTTATGGCATTAACGTCATATTAACGAGATTAACGCTGACAGCACTAATAATAAGTAATAAGTAGCTCGCTGTTTACGCTAATGTTAACAGCTAACTAGCCAATTAGCTTACCGAGATGACTGTACCACTTCGTCGTCGGATGCCACAACGTGCTTCCTTTTTAGATGCTCGTGCATTGCCGACGGACACTGCTTCTTCTTCTTCGTCTTTGGCGTTTAACGGCATCCTTGTAGATGCATTGTCGCCATCTTCTGTTTCAGTCCGTTATTACACTCTTAAATCCTACTGTTATTCCTGCACCTTTGAGGATTTTACGACGCTTCAAACGATGCGTCGACTATTAAATTAGGCGTCGACGATTTTAATAGTCGACGTAATCATGACTAGTCGACTAATCGTGGCAGCCCTATTGCTGATTACACTGATTTGATGTTTAGTTTTGCATTGTTACATAAAGATACATGTTAGAGGGCTTTTTGGGTTGTTGGCGCCCTCTCGTAAGGATAATTAGATTGGAGATAGGGGGCAGGTGCTAATAAGAATTTATTCTTCTTTCTGCTCCTTTTCACCCATGGGTGCAGTGTTATATTAGTGGGAAAGAGGATTTGTATGTAGGAAATGAAACACTGTTGAACCATGTGTGAAATAAATAAATAAATGAAATGAAATAAAATGTTAGCAAACATTGCGTTTTTTTCTTGACATTCATTAGATTTTTTTTTTTTTTTTGGTATATCTGTCATTTCATGAAATATTAGTTGCAAGTTGTTCAGACTAGTGTAGGGAACAGAGTTAAGCCAAGAACTACACAGTGTAGGGAACAGTTGTGATTCGCAAATGATCAAATAGTAATTTAGGGAGTGCTCGATTTGCTTTTATTTTTGTGTCAGTGTTACTTTATCATGCTCAATTAATAGTGGGAAGCCATGACCAAGATTAAAATGTGTTTGATTGTTCAGCCCTGTGACATACTATGTTGAAAAAGACAAACTTGGCTAGCACCATGGATCAGCTTAGGGTTGCAAAGGCAGTTTTTTTAAGGTTCCATGGGACCCTTAAGAACCAAAGAAAACATCTTTGTGTGTTCTCCTGTTGTGGTTTAATGCCCAACAAGCATAACCTATAAGAAACAAAAACGCACAAATAGATATTATCTCTTAATCTGCATTTTTAAAATGTCTTTTTTTGGTTCAGGGTTCAAGTTTTTTTGGAACTTGTTTTTGCATCATTTAAATGGTTGTTAGTTTTACCTCTATAGAAATTCACTGAAAGCAAAAGAATTACACTGAAATGAAAGACAAGCTTTTCAGCTCTGCAGGGCCATGCTTATTTAGTCTAATGATGTCACTATCACAGAGTTAAGCCAAGAAACAATATTTGAAAGGAAAACAGCACAGCTAGAAATTCGATGTTTACCAAAATACAAGATCGACTAAATACCAGCAAGGGGCAATATGGTGAGTGATGTATGAGGTGGAAAGGTGCATGGAGAGGCGAAATAAGAGAGCCTGAATGATTGACAGTCTGTCTGCTCTGCGTTTCAGCAACTGAGGGGTGGAATCAATGGTCTTACTTGGCTACCCATGGTAAAAACTTATTCCCTCTCCCTACCTCTCTTCAGTTGTTTCTATCTACCTGTGTCTAAAACCGATGCTTATACTCACATATATTTTTGCCTGCTTGATCTTTTTATATACAATAACATTTCAGTAAGCTTATCCTTCCTGTTCCTTAGGTTTTTCTTCCCAGTCTTTATATCCATGGTGATATACCATAAGCCCCTAAAATACATATTGTACTACTTGCTACTTGTTATAAATTTTTATTCATATAATACATTGAAAAACAATGATCAAAATAAACAAAAGCACACATATTAAGAGTACGAATTTTACGAAAATTTGATTAACAACAACAACAAAATACAGCTTGTTTAAAATCTTCATTAAGGATACTTGTAAGTTTCACAGTGAATACAAAGAATCACGTTCTTTGTCTGTCAAAGTAGCTCATGAGCTTGTCTTATTGTTCACATAAGAAAGGGAGCAGAAGCTGAGCAAAGTATAGACCAAGTGACAAAGCAACAATAAAAAATCAGCTACAATATAGAAGATTGAGTTAGGTAACTGACAAGGTATGGAAGCAGATAAAGTGTCCCTCCAATGGCCATCTAACCTCTGACCTTTGTAACGAGTGGCTGAGTGTCTAAACGTCATTCAGATAACGAGTTATGGCCCCGTTGACACTAAATGGCAGTCAATGGACAGATAGATGGCCCACTGGGAATGGATGAAGTCAATGGGCAGTGAGAGTGAGTTCCATATTGCATTAATGGGAGCAATACAATATACTAAATGGTATTTAGCAGACACTTTTATCCAAAATGTCTTGAAGTACCTCATTGAGTGCTTTTATTTTTAGAAAGAGTGGCCCCATTGAAAACCAGGGTCCCTTACACCCCAAACCTGTTGGGACTTTGAGTACTTGCAGTGCAGCAATACTGGATTCATATATTCTGAGTCAGCAGGCAAGTATTACTTTTTTTTATTTTAATTTTATTTTTATATGCAATAAACAGCAAGGAATTTTATATGAATCAGGGGATTTCAGTAAGTCTACATGGTATTTAAAATAATGAAGAAAAGGCACAGAACCTTTAATTCTCTCGTGTGGGAGGGGAGTTTCACTTCTTTACCATTAGGCAAGCGCTGGTGGAGAGGCATTATCTTTAGCAACATTCAAACATAAAATATCCTTTCATTCTTTTGCTACGTGTTAAGAGTCCCTCCAGTATTCATAATTTTCACATTTTCAGAATTCAATTTTGTTTTTATTTCTTTATCTTCTTCATCTTCATCCAGGCGTTGTTCCCGCTGGTGCAGGGTCCGCTCTTCGGCAAAGGATTCTCTTCTCCATTAGGTCCTGTCCAAGGCGTCCTCAGGTGATGCGTTGATGGTCTTAATGTCCTCCTTTATTTTGTCCATCCACCGTTTCTTCGGTCTGCCTCGAGGCCGGCATCCTTCTGGGTCGATCATCATTGCCTTTTTTGCTACCGAGTTCTCATCGCTTCGAATCACGTGTCCATACCACCTCAGGCGGGACTCAAGCATCTTTTCCTTAATTGGGGCTACACCTAATCGCTTCCGTATGCCTTTGTTCGTAACACGGTCCTGTCTTGTAATTCCCAGGCTCCATCGAAGCATGCGCATCTCCATGGTGTTTAGAGATTGTTCATGTGTGGTCAATGCGAGCCGACATGCGGAACCATACAGGGCTACTGGGCAGACCACCGCTTTGTAGATTTTTCCCTTGAGTCGATCTGGCATTCTTCTGTTGCAAAGGACACCAGTGACCTGTCGCCATTTTAACCAGGCTGCATTTATTCGTGCTCAGACATCGGAGGTTATATTTCCATTGTAGCTGATGACTGAGCCCAAGTAGCGGAACTCTTCTGTCTTCTTCAACTCTTCGTTGTCAATCATGATGGTGCCATCAGTTTGGGGGCCTCCTTCCAGGTATTCGGTATTTTTCGTATTAAGTCGCATGCCATATTCATCGAGCCGGATCTTCCAGAGTTGCATCGTCGTTTGGGTATCTTCTCCTTCTTTGCTGGCAAGGAATACGTCATCGGCAAAGAGGAGAGACCATGGATGAGGTAACTGGAGGTCGGCCGTGATGGTATCCATACATAGAATGAAGAGGAGGGGTGACAGAGCTGACCCTTGGTGGACCCCAGCACTAACTGTGAAGGGAGGTGATAGTCCAGCGGCGCATCGGACTGAACTGGTGGCGTTGTCGTAGAGGAGCTGTATCCATTTGAATTACGCCTCAGGGACACCATGTGATCTTAGGGAGTGCCATATGAGTTCATGGGGTACCCTGTCGAAAGCCTTTTCAAGGTCTAGGAAGGCCATATGTACCGTCTTGTTCTTTTCCCTGTGCTTCTCCAGCAGGAGTCGGGCGGCGTGTATGGCGTCAGTTGTTCCACATCCCTTTACGAAACTGCATTGGTTGGGGGTGACGTTGACAATTTCCCGAAGACGTGCATCGATGACTCTTTCGAATATTTTTGTCGTGTGACATAGTAGGCGGATAGGATGATAATTTGAGCATTCGGCTACATCCCCTTTGTTCTTCCATATGGGTATGGTAATGATGGTCGTCCAGACCTTCGGGACTTCTCCTGTGCTGACAATGTTGTTCAACAGTTCTGTCAGGATGGCTGTTCCCGGTCGCCCGAGAAGCTTTCAGACTTTGGTTTGGATATCGTCTGGTCCAGTTGTTTTTTTTATTTCTTTATCTAACGGTTCTTTTTTTTCTTTAGATGCCTAGTATAGCATTATGTACAGTTTGCACAGTTTCATTAACTAAATTTCCCACTGGATGATACATAATTTGTAAGATGTAATGTTTTTTGTATGCAATTCTTCCAGAAAACATAGCATCAGGATTAACATATTTATTTCTTCATTTCCAAGGAGTCTATTGGTGTGTGAAAGCCCCCAAAAGATTTGAAAGCCATTGAGGTGTCATTGGGTCATAAAGTTGGGAATCACACTTTTGCTACACACTGATAGTGAAAAGAAGAGATAAAGGAGCATGACTGTATGTCTAAGCGAAAGTGGAACCCAAGCTACATGTTGCACTTTTGCTGAAAACAGTTAAATGAACTGCAGCTGTAAGTACAATCACACCCGACACTTTTGCCTCGTGCCATTCATAGATAGACGTGTACATAGTCACATCAAAGATGAGTTTGGACTTCACATTTTGAAGCATTTTGGTCAGAAATGAACTAGAGTGGATGAAAGGGTGCTAATTTATTGGCTAACATTAGCATACTTAGCAATACTTAGCAAACTGCATTCAGAGTGTAGGGGTGCAATACACAAACACACATCGGATAAATAGAAAAGTACAATTTTACTCACTGAAACTGAAGCACAATCTTCTCAGATGATATGTACCAGTATCCATTAAAAATATATATATTTACGAGGGCACGTCAGCACATACAAGCAAAGTTAAGAGGTTCTCTTTAATGACTGAGAAGTAGTGTCTGAGGCCTAGTAAACACCGATTAGCCCCTGTCAGTCTGTCAATCAACATGGCCTCGCCCCTAATTCAGTTATCCCCATGGATGAGTTTCTTTTCTTTCTTTCTTTTTTTTAAATTCTCCCCACAACTCAGAGTTGTTATGGCATGTGATTGCAGTCACACTATATGCGTACCTGCCCAACTCTAACTGAATCACGCTCACTTAATTGCGTGTGGACACAGCAAGCAGCAATCACACTTGTCAAATGACGTGGACTCGGGGGCTAAGTGCACTCAAGCATGCTATGGATCGCCTTCTGTGAATACACCCTTAAAGTTTTGCTTTATTCAAAGTTTTACGTTGCCAGTTTCACAAAAAGAAACTGTAACCTGATGGGAGTACAGTTTTCATCAACAGTAACAGATGGGAATGACAAGCAAAATAAGGCTGATATCATCTTTGACTATATAGTGTAAAAACAATTTATAACTGTAAAAGATGTTAAGGCATGGGGAAAAAGTCATATCAGATCTACAGGAATAGAGCCAGTTAATGGTGACATCACAAAAGACGGCTGCTACGAGGTCCTTTCTTAAGTCTTAAGACACACTTAAATCCAAAACTTCCTTAATTACATGTAGGTGTACTATACACTAGGTTCAATCAGATCACTTCACATGGAGTAGTAATACAGAGCTGTAAAAGAGAATACCATCCATCCATCTTCATCCGCTTTGTCCGGGGCCGGGTCGCGGGGGCAGCAGCCTAAGCAAAGAGGCCCAGACCTCCCTCTCCCCAGCCACCTCCTCCAGCTTATCCGGGGGAATACCAAGGCGTTCCCAGGCCAGCCGAGAGATATAATCTCTCCAGCGTGTCCTGGGTCTGCCACGGGGCCTCCGGGGCAGACCCAGAGAATACATTTTATGGAAATTACTTGTCATTTAAATATCTCAGCATGTGATGTAAAATTTTCCTATTCACCTGATTTGGAGTTTATAGTAAAGTCTATAAAAAATCAACCATTCTGGCATCTCTGTGGTATTTTAAAAATAGGAACAGTGCCTTTGCTGTTGCAGACAAAAGTCTTCATCATTATACCTTATTCACTTTGCTGTAATTAAATATAATAAATGTCACCTTTCCCTTCTTTTTCGTTTTATATTCCTCTCTACACTTTCACACGTTTAAAGCAGAGCACCGCACAGATCTTGGGTAGATGCTCAAAAGATTAGCAACAACATCAAAGAGATCAACAGCACTATCTCTACAATAATTGATGAGTCCACCACAGTTTATTTGAAGTGTGAGTCCAGCAAAAGTAGTAATCCCCCTTTTGAATTTCTGTGCCTTGGGGAAAAGACCTGACCAAAGGTCTAAATAACTTTAAGCTACAACTCAAAGTTTCATGTTGATTCCCAGTAACTCAGATCCTTTAGCTGTATTTGATGCTGGGTCAGAAGTGAGGGGGGGGGGCTCAGAGATATTCAGGCAGTAACACAGTACTGTCTAAATCACAGAATTAGGCTGCACTGTATTACTGAAGTTGTAGACTTGTACTATGCAAGCTATAGTCTAGAATATAATATTTACCAAACATGTAAAGAAGTTCCCAAAGTGACATATGGGACAGCTGTACTATATATTTATCCCAATTAAGAAACAAATAGTGCAACAGTACTGTAGTTTTAGTACTACACTTTATTAGATAACAGTCTTTTGTTACAAGGCAATTCTTTGAAACACTTGTTTCTGGCATTTTTATAGGATTTGCTAACCATAAGAAATGTAAAATATATCAGGAGCTTTACTCTTTGATAACATTTTAATATGACATAATCACACAGACAGTGCAGAAATTATAAATACAATATGTCACATGGCCCACACTTTTTGCAAGCTCATGTTGTAGGTATAAAATTTCCATTCAAACAACCTGCCACCCTGGAACTTCAGTTGCAGTGTTAATATGTATTGCACAGTCAAATTACCATAGCAAATTTACATTTCCAGCTTGTGTGTGAAAACAATTTCGCACCCATACCCAGCACGCTTCAAACTCCTCGTTTTGTCTTTTTCAATCACCACTGTATTTTGCTATGCTGTTTCCACCCTTTCTGACTTTCTTATCCCTTTGCCTACTTTATTCCTCCATATCTTCTTTTTGGTGCCACGTTTCTCTGTGCTTGTTAAACCCAAGTGTTTCCCAGCTTCTTACCTTAGCTCTTATTGTTAGTTGGATTCAGAGCCAAGGGTGGATCTAGAGGAATCAGAGGTGTCAGGATGTGGAACATCTTTTCAATGCCACAATACCCGGAGGACTTTGTGTGACCATGCCAAAATCAATCAGCCTTCTATTCATCATCTAACCCTGTCTTTAAAAGTCTTTGAAGATGTCTTACCTAAGTTGTCTGCCTGAAGATCTCAATGTTTTGCTGCTTTTTTTTAAACAGTTACATTATTCTCAATTCATATGTGATAAGCTGTTAATGAATATAATCTGTAATATATTACTTCTCAGTACTTAAATGAATATATCAGACTCGCCTAATTCTTGAGCTATATTACTCCTGTCCAAGCTTCGTAACTGCAAAAATGTGAAAGTGTAATACTAAACTATGTAGCAGATGATGTATGCATCATGGAGGCGTTTCAGTGGACAATTTGATGCTGTTGGATGCTGTTTTGTTTTATGTGAGTCATTGTCAGTGACATAGAAGTGGAGCTGCAGGTGTGGCTGCCAAGTAAGAGAAAGAAAAGCTGTAACTCTGAAGCATACCAATTACAACAACACTTGGAGTTGCCAGGTTTGGAAAATTAATCTTATCTCATACCGAGATTCCCTTATGTTTTTTTCGCCTTAAGTTTTACTTAAGGAAGAAGAAACATTTTGAAACTCTGAAACTTAAGGCTTATAAGATATTAAAAATAATTAAGACTTTTACAAAGTATTAGATTGCATGTTTTAGCCTATCTAGAAGGTCTGGAAAGAATACGTTTTGCAGACTAAAATATATGCTCTGCATGAAAATACACGATGACAGTTTCAAAGACAGAGGGCCAGGGAGAGGGAATATATACTCAAAACTTCATTTGAAATCTGAAAAACATAAACAATGTGAAAAGGGGATCAAAGATCAACTGGATAAGACTGGTAGAAAAATAAAGAAAGAGGCTGCGCTGAGTGTTTGAGATTTCTGATAGGAATGCCTCCGGGCCTGCAAAGAGAGGAGAGCAGAGTGCAAGTGAATCTGCCTCATGATGTCTTCCTTTTCTCTTCCTCTTTTCCTCCTCCACCCTCCTCCACTCGGTCTCATGAAATGTGACGAAAGGAGCTTTCCTAAAGTTATGTCTTAAGTTAGAAAAAAAGGGTGCCAATGTAGCAGCAGGTGTCTCTAAGGCCTCACATCATAACCATTCCTGCTCTGTAATGATACCACTACACCAAGAGGCACAATACACCCTGGAGAGTTTGCCAGTCCATTAGAGGCAGATTGTCACTCACATACACACCTATTGCCAATTTAGATTTACCAGTTAGCAATATTAATATAATGCTCAATTTTAATATTTAAATACACCAAAAATTCTTTATCACTAGACCCCAAGCCTGTTCTTTTAGTTGTTTGATGGTGGGAATTATGAATTACCATTACAGAGTAAGTGTTAAAGGAGTCATAGATGGAGTGACTGTTATTTAGTGAGAATTGTGGTGGAAGTTTATCAGGGCAGACTCAGATTAGCTGTGTTACTCTGTTTCCTTTAATTTTCTGTCAGAGAAAAAACAATAGTGAATGATCCTCTTCAATCATCACTAAGATTATAAACTCATTCTCACTTTACACAGTATGTACCTGCTGCTAAAGTATTTGGTATATTATTGGCAGAAAGACAAAATGAGAGCTTCAAAACACAGATCTCACAAAAACACATATGCTGGACACCAGCCTGAAGTGTTTGGCCTGATGGCATGCGAATCTGGTGCTATGATGAAATACCATATGGTCTGGTGTTAAAATTGCTGATTGTTAATACTTCAATTAACTGCCTCTAAACAGAAATGAAACATTTTTAAAGACAGCAGTGTAACCTGCTTCATCTTTCCTTGGCTCTTTCCAGGGCATTTTATATATTACTGGATTTCCTTCCACTTTCTTTGGATTTTCTCCCTACCGCAAGCCTTGATCTCCTATCCACCCCCATCGCCAACCTCTATAAGAATTTGCGTCACCATTATTCAGAGGGCCACACACACAATACAATATGTGTTTCACATATTGTACCCCCACACACACTCCATGATTAACGACAACAAAAGAGCCTTTTGCTGTATTGAGATTGTTATCATTTGATGCATTAATCTCTCTCTACATCCTCCTCTCCCCTCTCCTTCAAATCTTAGGTAAAGGAATCACTTTCCTGCCTATCTTTAGTTGTTGAAAGAAATATAGAAGGCAAAGGCAACCTGTATTTTATACAAGAATAGAGAGAATTTAAACAATTCTTTCAAAGCCACCCTTTTTTTTTAAATATTAAATCTCAACAGTGGACAACTCAAGTCATGGTTTTAAAAGCCACGTGTGTAAATTGTTTTGTGGTATGCTACTAATCTGAATATAGTCTTTCACTGTACATCCAATAGAGAGACTCTCATGGTGTGCAATAAAATGTAACAGTTTTGAGTTTATTTTATTTTAGCCAAAAACAATATGTTAACCTTTAGACAGAAGTGTCTTTATTTATT